TGTCCACTATATTAGCTTAAATTATACCAAAATTCTTGATAATAATGAATTCGAAGTGTTACATGCTGCTTTTTCCTTGTTTCCTCAAGGAAATATCATCTTCAGGTTATAACAGTTGCAAAGATAGAGACTCAAGCACGCAGTCAGGATTGTCCAACAACAGGAACAATCAGTACCTTATCACAAAGACGCAGGTGACAGTAAAATTGATGATAGGTGTGAGCCCGTTGTTAATTTAGAGCCATCAAAACGTTTACACCAGGAAGACTTGACATCTTTAACATTATTTTTGCCAAATATATAGATCTTAAAAATCGATCAATGATCAGATTGTTTTATGAATGAATATGATTTTTTTTTCTCATTTCTTTTCATTAGCCACAAATAGAGACCGCAATTTGTGCTCCAAATCAATTTTAATTAAATACTATTGGGAAATGTTATTTATAAGTAAATCATCTCAAATGACAAAATTGGGTGTAAAAATAAGAGATAAAAAATAATTTACTTTCACACAAGTTCGCAGAATTAAAAAGAATTATAGGCATTAAATTAAAACATATCAATTTTCGATTGAGATAAATTTATTTTAAATTTAGACTCTTGCATTCTTGTGGAAAAGTCTGAAAATCTACGCCAATCGACAAATGAAAAAAAAACAACGATATTTTTTCTTTGTCTAAATATAAAAGTATATATCATTGACAAAGACCCTCAAGTTAAAAAAAAACATTGTAAAGAAAGAATACCTGGTATACTTTAAAATATACAAGTTAAGTTAATTTCCCTCATGTGTCTAAAGTTTTTTTTTAAAAATTATCTTTTACTTTTAGTATATACACATCTGAACATATATATATGAACAAAAAACGATTTCAAAAGACATTACATGTAGTTAGATCCCGATTGTTCACTTACTGAAGCAATTTTATTTGCCTTCACATCAGGCAATAATTTTTGGAATGTCATCCTTCATTGATTTCTTAGAAAAGTACTTATCTTTTATGCTATGATGAATCATAAGTGCAATGTTGGCGAAAAAGCTTATAATTTGAACATTATAAATTTAGGTTATATGTATTATTGACTTGTTTCCTTGTTACATATCATTTGTTGTCACAATTCAACATCTAAGTACAAGCATCTTCCTAGGTAATGGATCTTTGATTTCCTAGAAAAGAACTCGCAGCTACACTATTTCTTATGTTATGATGATAATGAAGTGCTCTTTGACCCCCCAAAAAGCTAATCATTCATACATTTGATTGTTATGAACTCATGTCATCATATTTTATTAATAGCGACATATCTAGACTAAGGCACGTGTGAGGGACCTTTCCATAAAAAAGATAAAAAGATGGCAGTCACCTTTTTCTTTTTTTATGGAAGGGTTCCTCACATGTGGTGCTGTCTCGTAGCATGTATTTCACGCCAATTATAGGGGTTTTGTTTTGAGTTTGTTGAATCATTTATTTAAGTGTAGAGTTATTTTGTTTGATTCTGTTTTAATTTGAGTTTGTTTAATCAGTTATTTAAAGATAATTATATTAAAGTTCATTAAGTTCAAACTTTTTGTGTGTTGCTTGGTATGTCCAATCTAAAGTAGTGAAAACTTCTAATTGTACACTTAATTCATTTTGCGCATACGTCATGTACATGTAGAGATACTTGCTTTGCCGGTCGGCAGTGGATGCTCACTCCTCCATGGCACCTGATCCCACCTCTGATGTTTTAGAGGTCCGTGTTTGCTCTGCTCCAAATTTTGCATTGTTTAATGGACGTTTTGAACTTGAATACTGTTCGTTATCTTGATATATCTCATTTGCATTAACTAATAAACAAATATATTATTGCATCTATTGTTACACATGACATAAATTCGAAGAATAGACGAAATATGCTTGACGACCAATGTTTTATTTGAGGGATCCTCGTGTTACTTAAAAAATGTAAGTATTCTGGTCATTCTCACATACATTTTTATCAGAGAATTATCAAAGAAGCTTAATACCGAAAAGTAAACTAGATTAACTTCATTTTCCGTTTCTGATGAGTTCTGAGGTTTGACAATTGATATCTTAAAAAACTAAACTTTCTGAATTAAAGAAGACATGAAAAGTATTCTTTTGACACCCCCCCCCCTCCCACTTTCTGCTCATGGTTCTGTTGCTTTATTATTCATATGTCTCATATGGAAGCATTTTCAGATTTTATTGAAAAGTTATCGTTAATTAGAATTTCACTGTGCAATCCCTTTTGTGTTGCTTTCAGGTCTTTTCCATGATGAATGTAATTTGAAGAACTTCATTTATATATATATATATATATAACCCTGATTTCATTATTATTTTTATTTATCATATTTATCGAGTACTTTAGCAAATATTTTTTTAATTCCTAGTTAATTGTGAAGATAACGAACAGTGATTATTCTCAAAAGTCCATTCAAATAATACAAATTATAAGAAGAGCTAACACGGACCTCTGAAAATAGAAAAGGGATCAGGTGACATGGATGAGTAAACATCCCCTGTCGACCGGTCACACCCGCCATGGTTAACATTTTGTATGAAAGACAAAAGTCAACATTCGACTTAACCTTGGAATGCCTTTGCAAACAAGGTCATTGTACCATAGAATTTACGAAATGTTGACTTCAAACGATTTTGTTGATATACTTGTATCATCAACTAATTTGTTCATAGCCTGTCTACTAATATCTAGTTTAGAAACTGTTAGTTCTTAGGGCACGTTCATGCATAACGAATCAACTGGGAGACATAAACTCTGTATGAAGGTGATAATTGCTACAAATATTAGGGAGTTGACCATAGAAAGTTGACGTCATCGCGTTTGTTATAAAGTTTCACTTTTGCCATCATTGTCTTTGACCTAATTTTGTTTTCATATGAAGCAGAATTTGTTCAAAATCTTATACCTGAAAAGAAAAAAACTCTTGTTGTGTCCTCCAACTCGACATTTAGATTTATCGACGGCGTATTGTCAATTAACGATGGTTATTTCCATTCTTATGTCGATACGATATATCCCGGTGAGCTTGAAATAAAAGATACCACAGAGTCTGACACATCTGTTTCATATTTGGATATTTTATTAGAAAAAGACGTTAATGGTAATCTAACAACCAAGCTTTATGATAAACGTGATGACTTTAAATTTTCAATCGTCTACTTTCCTTACTTATGCAGCAATATACCTTCATCACCTGCATACGGGGTATATATCTCACGGTTGATTCGATACGCAAGCCATGCTCTACGTATGATCAATTTCTAAAACGAGTTAAGTTATTGACAAACAAGTTGATGAAACAATAATATCAGCAGTCCCGTTTAAAGTCCTCATTTCGCAAGTTCTATGGTCGATACAATGACCTTGTCAGCAAATACAATTTATCATGAAGTCAAATGCTGACTGACGTTTTTCATACTAATTGTTAGCCCATTATTTACACACTGAATTGTCGACGGATTTTCGTTTCTCGATCATGACAAGGAGAACACGGTGGGTGTGACCGGTCGGCAGGGGACGCTCACTCCTCCATGGCACCTGATCCCACCTCTGATGTTTTAGAGGTCCGTATTTCCTCTGCTCCAAAATTTGTATTGTTTAATGGACCTTTTAACTTGAATACTGATCGTTATCTCCATACATTTCATCTAGTAAAACATCCAAATATAAAACATATGTTGTAGATTCTGTGGTGTCTTTTATTTTGAGTTGGGATATATCAAATCAACATATGAATGAAACAGCTTTCTGAATTGTGTTAATTGATAAAACGTTGTCGATATATCTAAATGTCAAATTGAAGGCCACAATAAGAGACTTTTTCTATACATTTAGAAGTTTTTTGAATAAATTCTACTTCATATGAATATAAAAACAGGTCAGCTAATGAATGTGCTCAATTAGTTCCCATTGGAATCTTAACAGATTTTTGGAAGACCTGGTCTCCGAAAACTACAAAATAGATTGTCAGTGAGAGTCTCAAACACCTTTTTAATGTCAACCTCGGAGTACCTGTGAATACATAGATTCAGAAAGTTTTTTTAACAAAATATGTTTGCAGATGACCAGTTATAAAGTATGCAACTTTACGAGTTTAAATTTTATCGAAGAATGTCTATGATGTCAAAATATCTTATTAATCTAACGTTGGGAATGGTTGTGTAAAGTGTTGAAAAGTCGTACACTTTGATGTTAATGACCTTTGTAAAATTTTATGATTTCAAATTCTCTAAAAGTTTCTTGAAGTTTTTAAATAAATAATTGCCAGAATCCAGTTCTTTCCAATGATTTCTTTGCTTGAAATAAATTACCACATAAGCAGTACTCTGATTATATAGCAAGTAAGAATATAGATTCTTAAAAATCCAATTTTTCACTGAAATATAATTTATAATGTTCATTTCATTTTTAAAAACATGAAGGAAGACAGTTCAATTTTAATATTTTATTTCATATTCAATAAAACAATGTAAAAAGGATATATGTAATTTGTCAGCACTAAACGAATTAGGATAATTTTATCTAAGCAATTGATATAATATTAATATCATAACATAATATTAATATAACCTATGAATATACGCAGCCATGCTCGTAATTAAGCATTATCTAAGTAAAATATGGAGAAATTGTTCAAAACACCCAGTGAATGAAAAATAGCTAGAGAAACATGACATAGTAAAAAAAAAAAGAAGTAAAATCAGTCTTAATGATATAATGGAATCAATCAAGGACTTTTATAATCGGACATTACCATGCAGATATATATATGCATTTAGAACTCGAAATCAATCTTACATTGTTTATTTTGTACTCATAAATTACATTTTGTAATAATTGATCAATTCTGGAGACAACATTTTATTTCGTTCCTTTTTCGATATAAACTGTGAAAGTGTCATTTAAATAATGCATCTGATTGAACTTTACATTAAATTAGAATCAATATACAATAAATGTTTATTTCAAAATAATTGATGACTTTATGAACAACTTTCTCAATTATGGGCAATTTATCTTACTCAAACAAATAAGCAAATCATAGATTTGATCGAAACAAACTGAAATATTAAATTGAAATGGACTGGAGTGCCATCGAGTGCGTGCTTCTAGTAATGAAATAAACAGTGTGAAAAATGATGGATTAAGACCAATTATTGATGCCAGATGTGGTGCGTCTCAAACTTACCTTGCTACCATACCGACGTTTATTTATCCCAAATTGTAGAATTTGATAATAGTGAAGGAAAAAGAATTAAAAAGTATTGTTTTGAAACGTAACATGTAGAAAATTCAATTAAATACTTTTTTGATGAATTTATGGTGAATTAATTACAGCTTTGGCACAACTGGAATCACATGTAAATGCTTTTAGAATTCTTAACAAGATAACTTGTTACTATGATAATATCACAAACTGAGACAGATTCATAAAATTGACAAGTATACTACCTTACAAAAATCATATATTACACGCACAGATACACTTCAACACTAACAAAATTTATGAGCATTCTCAATCGCACCAAACAACCAATCAAATGTGAAATTTACTGCTATAAAGCATTGAATGTTCTTTGTAAAGAGTTTTGCTGCATATCAACATCAATATAAATTTCTCTCAACCTGTCCAATCTTTCCGTTTCTTCAATTGTTGGACAGGTTGTCATTTGAATGTTCATTTCATTTCTACAATATTGTGGAGGGGACCTATGCAGTCGGGGGCTTTCGTTTGAACCTTCGGACTCATGCTCGTTGATCGAATTCAACGAGGCAGAATTGCGAACAGGCAAAGAACCTCTCCGGACAGGAGAAGGCTCTGGCGAAAGAGAGAGTTTCCCTGGGGTTGTGTTGCATCTTTTCATTTGATCATGTTGGCCTGAAGAATGATTTTCTCGAGTTTGTAGCATTTCATTATGATCGAACCCGAGGTTGATCATTCCATCAGAAGACATCTTTTGTAAATCATACTGAAGAAAAAGAGTAAAAAAATAACCATCTTTTGTGTAATATAACCTCGATCACATAAAATCAACTTGTATGTTAAACTTATGCAAATGAAATTGCGTAGATTTTGACAGATTTTGGATGACGTAAAACTTTTACACACCTTCTGTTGTGGCACATTAGCTATGGATTTCCTATGAACACTTGTATATACATCTTCCTTGACGAAAGGTTTCTCTATCAAAATATATTTGGCTGCTATTTTTGGAACTTTATAGTCGAGACAGACTATAACAAACCCAATTATTGTGGTAATGATACCTAAAAATGAAAGAAAAAAAATCATTTTCAAAGCCATTTCTCAAAACGCACAACATATACATAAAGTCTTGCACAATGAGAGAGAAAAAACCAAGGCTGCAGAAAGTGTTATTACATATAACTTTGTCATTTTTTTTATTCATAAGTGAATAAAGCAAACAATTACGGTTAATTCATATACAAACCTATAGCTAAAACTGCCCAAAAGCAAGGACCATAGTAAGTCACAAAGTCTACGTCACTTCCCATTATTCTAAAAGCAAGGCGAGGCTGCAGCACGTGGAAGGTGACGCAAGCCAGAATCATTGTAATCCCGGTTAGGGTAAGTAAAAAGGCGCCATAGAAAACCACAGTCACCATCATAATGTTTGTGAGGATCCAGAACGAAAACGAGGTCCTGTAAATAGACATCAAAATTTACAATGTCACTGTCTCCACTCAAACACTTCATGTTTTGCAAGTATGAGCTGATGGAGGAAAAAAAACAAACCATAGCAGAATATGGGACAGGTATCCAGCCCCAGTGTAGCTTCTACCCCATCTCAGTCCGCCAGTGTCAGTACTGAGGTATTCCACGAGATGTAGAACTGGGATGGGTAGTCCCCTTCCCAAACAATGTCGCAATTCCTGGATAGGACCCCTCACTGAAATATACGAATAAATGTTGATTAGAGTAACATATGTTGAAGATCAGTATTTTTTTTTTATATTAATCTCAGTTTGGATTTAGAAAAGAAGTACTTGAGGTTCAAATAGCTTACCATTCTCTAAGTCCACTGCCTCATTGTAGTTTATCTCCCCTTTTGATTGATTAAAATTACCTGTATATAAAATGTCTGTATATTAAATATCTATATAGATAAATAACTTGTATATAAATTAAATGATATTGTACTTGGATTGAATAGTAACAAGAAAAGATCTCACACTTCTATATGCATTAAAACCGAGTTAACTGTGAATTATAATCGCATATACCTGATAATGTAATATTGATTCTTCGAAGGCCAACAAACATGCCAAGAGTTCCCGAAAATTGTTCCTCGGATCTGTAGATATACGTTGATTTAACCTGCACCTCACCAAATTGCCAACAGTAACCTAACGAAGCCACTGAAACAGATGGAAAAAATGATCATATTTTCATTTCAGCTCTTCCAAACCTAGAATTGCACAGAGACAGCTGAGAGAATACCTAATAATTTACGAATGAAGTGGTACAAGTTTGTGACATCTAAATCATGTTTTGGGATGACCTCTTGATAAGAATTCTTTTTCATAGACCTGAGCCCATGTCAAATATTCCAAATAACCACTCGAACTTATACATCTTGTCAAATTTATGCTAACCATTTTCAAAAACATTTGCCATAGGTTCGCACCAAACATTGTGAACATATGATGATCTTTCAAATACTGTAGGTCTTTGCTTGCATTTCAGAAAAGTTTAAACTTTTAACTTTAACTACCTGCATTGATGTGCCAACAAATAAACTTCCGGGAAATGCTGGCATAATTTGTTGTAGGTGAGACATGAAATCCTTGTTTTCACCATTAATGCCTAATTTAAAGGACACTACACCTGTTTGATTTTTTTTATTGACGCTTTCTTGCAGAAAATGCATCATCGTTAATCACTTTAATTTGGTGCAAGAGAGGTATCACTCAACTTTAAATAACCAATAAATGTGTGATATTACCTCAGTAGTTTGTAATAAAACTGTATGAAAAACTAACTTACAAATAATGGTTGTTCCAATACCCAGACTAAACACAACTCGTATTAGGTTAATCCATCTCTGCAAAAAAAGATTAATATATATACTAAAATTTAACTTCTTTGTAATTTATAGCAATTGATAAAAAATATTCATTTTGTTTATTGTTCAATAAATGGTGTGTGTGGGAGGATTCGTAGAAAGTTACTATTATGCATTAGAGAACAGTAAAAGTAGCTGTCCATATTGAACATAATACTCATTCAATCGAATCCAAAAATGCACTGAGGGTCTGCCGACACGTGGGCCTTTATTACTGATTGTTTCTTTATGAAGGCACTAAGGTTTACTCTATCAGTCTAGTGCCATGGGTACTGTTCACCCCCCCCCCCCCGCCCCCTAAAATATATCTCTTGATAAAAAAAAAATTTGGAATAAACCATACTAGAACCATAAAAAAACATAAATTTGTAAGGAGAAATGAAAACACAAAGATCTAAATTAATACCATACGATTTCTTTGTAGTATTGATGTGCAAATTGTTAAAAGTAAGATGATCCATTCGAATCATTCAAAGGTCAGCGAGATCAAAAAAGAACATGAAAAATTGACAGTGAACATACAAAAATCTGATTTATAAGGGAAATGTGAATTTGTCAAGAAGGTCAGGTGGATTCATGCTAATCGGATTGTGTACGATTAATTGGAACGATAACACCTTGATAAACTCTTTTGCATTCCTAACCAAGGACCAAGCACGTTTAAGGCCTTGATATCTTTTAAAATTAGTGAGATATCCACACTTGCAAAAGCTATGATTAATCCATTGACAAATAAATTGATTTTTGAAAAGAAAAAAAAAAAGATGAATGAAGAACTGGCTTGGTGATGGCGTTAAGACGGCCGCGGTAAAGAAACGAAGAATAAGAAGAGAGTGATGATGATGATGATGATGACGATGATCAATGTGATGAAAATGGTATTGATGAAGATGAAACCTTTACCACTGTTACTTTTCGCTGGTATAACACTTCACGTATAGAGTACAAATACACGTACAACCTAGTCGTATCTGAGAATTGTAAGACAGTATTACGGCAGGGTTGTATGTGTGCTTGTCGGAATCTGGGTTCTTTTTGAGTTTATTCAAAATCTGTGCTACATATTTATAATGATTTTGAAATTGCTAGATACAAGGGAATCGGTGTTAAAGATATTTTAAGATGCTAAAGTGTTGGTCCTCTACTGAAGTATTGTTTGAACATGGCAAATTTGTGATGTTTTCGCTTTATGGGTTGTAGGTACAGGGCAGGAGTGACTCTTCCAACAAGGAACGGAACAAGGCAATCTATGTTTCGACAAAAAGCAATGTTTCCGAAACACCGTAGTGCGGGCTAAAAATACAAAATGGCGCGGCAAGACACGCTTACAGAACGAAGGGGGTAATTAGCTGACTAAATTGCTGAATCAGAATTAATTCGAGTAAGTCGTTAAAGTAAACCGTCGTTTGCGTTCAGAAGAAGTGACATGTTCCACTTAAAAATTTGCAAGGTAACGCACGATCAAACTAGCCTAATTAAGTTTGTTGTCAGTTATGCAATCCTTATCAAGGTCCATCTTTGAGCCTACCTAGCTGTCCTACCTGTGTCTCCATAAAACGTCATGTGTTTAATGATCGTTTAATTATTACAGGAAGTGTTACAAATCATAACTGAACGAAAACTCCTTTGTTCATTTTAATATATGCGGTCTTTACGTACGTCATGTTTTTGAACAGACCAGGAAGGTCTGTATGTCATATTGTAAACAATATATAGATCAGAGGTCAGAAGGTGTAGTGTTAATGATTAATACTAAAGAAAAACAATTTTCCTTTCCGAGTTATTAAATTTCTTCTATCATCTTAACACTCAGATATGAAAGTTCATGTATGTTGGAATGATTTCAGTAAGAGTCTTGTATCGAAACTGTGTTTGTTACAATTGATTAATTATATCATAAACTTTGTGATATATTTATAGAAATTATTAGCACTTACTTCTTTTCCACGAATGCCAAGAGCCACTATAATCGTTGCTACGGAAACAAGAACGCATGCGTAAATAGCACTAACAAGTTGAATATCAATGGTAACCGGTGTTCTCTTTTGTCCATAGAAAGAAAACCCAAAGTCTCCTCGAAAAGCACTAAACCAAGTCATTCTGAAATATCAAAATAAAGTCAATTAAAGCAAGAATCTTGTTTCGTTATTAGTCCCCTACCGGTGAAACCGGAGGGGACTATAGGTTTCCTCTGAGTCTGTCCATCCGTCTGTCTGTCTGTCTGTCTGTCCCTCTGTCTGTCTGTCAGTCTGTCCCACTTGGTTTTCCGCACTTTTTTCCTAAACGCCTGCAGATATTGAGCTGATTTTTGGTATGTGAGTGTATTTTGATGAGTTACAGATCAAGTTTGAATTTCGTTCCGCTTCATTGATTTTTGACGGAATTACGGCCTTTTCAATTTTTACGGGTTTTCCGCAATTTTCTTCTAAACGCTTGTAGATATTGAGCTTATTTTTGGTATGTGGCTTTACCTTGATTAGTTATAGATCAAGTTCGCATTTCGTCCCGCTTCATTAATTTTTGACAGAATTATGGCATTTTCAATTCTTAACGGGAACCAGATTACATGCACTTGCCGGTAGGGGACAAGTATTGCTAATGCAATACTCTCAGAATGCTTGTTATATAAGGCCTAAGACCGATCCGATTCATAGACGGTAGTCTTGAAAGTTAACGATAAGTTTTTCGAGGTTGGGGAACCCATGATTCATATAAGCGGATGCTGTCTAATTTCTTACTGATAAACCTTGATACTTCAAAAGAGAAAGAGAATCAAAAGGATTCAAATGGCCTTTCTGGAGTGACAGTTTCAAGATATTGATTACAGACATGACATGCTTGAAAGTTAACCAGATTATTTCGATTTGTCGTGGTGTTTTTTTTTAGAAAATGAAAGGCATGTAGCTCATTAATAGATCGCCTTGACATAAAATAAGTATAAATACAATGTAATGACAAAACATTCAGAATTTCTATCTTAAAGTTGAAGTGTTCTCCCAGAGAAAAGAAATATTTACACCTTAAACGCAAAATAATATCGTCTTGCTTTTCCATTGGTATCTTAATGTCGCAATGCAATGCTGTATACATGAAAAGTTTACAAACTCCTTTGCCTATGTTACAAATAATAGCAGGTATGGTTAGAAATAAAGCTATTTACCTTTAACAAGACGTTGTTCCTTTAATTCCTCTTCTCCGTTGATAGTTCTGAAAGTCGAAATAATATACATTGTATGTTAATTTTAATTCAATGTAAACTGTGTTATATTTTTAGCTCTTGACAGTTCTACGCTTTGGCACTTAGTGTTCACGTTATATGTTCTCCTTCGTCACAGTGGAGAATGTATAACAAATATAAACCGTGTAAATAAAACAATAATGAATCGCTGAAGCGTGCATACGCGTGTATATTTGATCCCTTTATCACAAGATAAAAAGCTCAGGCGGACCCGGGTTATATTGAAATGTTATGGAAAATTTTCCAATTAATGAAAAGGTTTGACATGAAGAAGTTTGATAAGCCTCCTACAAAAAAAATTCTTTTTACAGACATGCAAATATTTCCAGCATTATGTCATATCAGTTTAAAACAGGCGAAAGAAAAGTGCATAAAATGTCACAACCCAGTTGTTCAATTAGGCATATATCTGCATAAATAAATAATATTAAAGTGAAATATAAGAATGAATATTAAAAAAAAAAAAATGCAAAAAAATATATTTAATTATCTAAATTCTAATAAAAAAAAATATTTATTAGAAATGTTGCAAATTATTTAAAAGAATTTTTTAAAATAAAATTCAATGAAGCAAATTTTTTTTTGCACTGACCATAAAATAAGATCTCCGGTGACGCTCCAACTTTATAACGGGAGCATGTAAAATTAAACCTCGGCTATGTAATCGGAAAATTTCAACTTCCTAACATCAATGTGTAGTTCTCTTAAAACATATGAGCAACTGTCAATCTTTTTACGATCAGCACTCACCGGTTAATGAGTGTTGCGAACGCTCTGATTACGTTTTATAAAGCAGTCAGACACCGCGGTTGATTAGCATACATTGAAAATAAATAAATATGAATGTCCCGGGAAAATGGAATTTCTACTGTCATATTTTTATACCTCTGTTGTTACGTTATGGTATTCCAGTATGAATTAGCATGGATGGACCCTCCTACCTTAGTTAGAGTGAAAGGTTAAGTATTTTGCTAAATACAAGTACTCTTGAGATTGTAAGAGAAGGTTTACTCATTATTACAAAGAAATGCTTCACAAGTAATTATGAATGTGCAAAGCATATTGATAAGCACGGTACGTTTTTCACTATATCCAAACTTCACAATACAAAAAGATTTGTTTCTTTTATCATAAACTTGTTGAACATGTATGTTTTATGATTTTATGATTTATTTATAATTTAATTTTTTGGTTTTTGCAAATAGAAAAGGTACTTCTGTAAATAAATAAACTGAAGAAGTAAATTTTTAAAACGCAAGTTTCTACAGCAAGTGCCGTCTTATGCATTTATTTCTGAATGTATGTAACATAAGATTTTCATCTAGCTACATGCTAAATTGAAAAAAAAAACATGTTTTTTTTTCTTTTGCAGTTTTTTTTTTTTAATTTTTGCACCTTAAATTTTGAAATAAATAAGTAACTAATTAAATGCAATTATCATTTTTTAATCTATTCATTAATAAATAAGAAATCAAAAATACCTATTTAAATATTCTTTAAAGGAAATCGTACTTTTGAATAAGTTGTGAATTAGGAAGTTAAGATATGCAGCCTCTCTGTTCAAATACAGAATAGCGTTATCTGCACAATTCAATTAAAAAACAGCATGAACATATCACAAACCCTGCCATTTACTACACTGACATTACAAGTGGGTCCAAAAATGGACTTTTCGGTGATATGATAAGTGGATTTACTTGACAAGGAAGTACAAAGTACTTACTTGCATTTCTTGTAAATGAAGTCATTTGCTGACCTTGCAAAAGTGCATAGCAATAAACCCTGTGCAGTTTGTTTGTCTGTTGTTATTTGAAGTTAAGAAGTAAGTGACGAAGGTTAGGAGACCATCTTAACTGCATAAGAATGCAGTTAATTGTTCAAAAAGGTTAACATTTAGTATAGTAATTAAACAAACGTAAGAAATATAATCTTTGTCGTAGTCATATTGATACTGGATTCTTTCTAAAGCTAAAAGAAAATACAGCATATGGTTTCGTGACCCTGCATGTAATTTTGTTACATGTATACTGAGAAAATTATGTACTGCATAATATTACATTAAAAGTTTCATCTGTATCAGTCTTCTTTTCTTTTATAATCAACGGATTTCTTCAAACCCTTACTCTTTTTTTTTTTTTACGTTCTCGATAAATAGGTGATTAATTGCATCAAATACTTACTAAATCTTGAAACAAGGAAAATTATTCCAACAATGTGTTTCGGTACAAAAACCGTGATCTGTGCCTTTTGATGAATTTGAATGTACCCAAATTCTACCCTGGAATTGCGGATGTCCGTACCGATAGGAATTTTTCTTCTATAAGCCACATCAAATGAAGTCTAACAGGGTAAATATTTAATGTACTTCGATGGACAGTTTACAGAGTACTGACCACAGGGCCCTGTCTTCATGACGTATGTGTTTTATATATAATGACAAGAACTGAACTTCGAACATACCACGTGGTTGATTCTGTCAATAAAATTAATTGCAGAAATTGCATAAATAATTGAAGTCATCCAGTTAAACAGTGATTTCCCAAGGTTGGGAAACATTCCCCTAAAAAGCACAGGGATTTCATGACGTAATTAAACCATACCTTACCTAATGGCCTTAATTCCCCAAAAAAACTTCATACCCATGTGTTTATTTACTCTGAATTGATTTTTTGATATTAAGATTTTACATCTGTCTTTCACGAATAAAAGACTATGGAACTCATCAATAATTTGACGTATTCTTAAGATAAAAATTATTACGAGTTTTAAAAGAACACAAAGCCAACAGATATTTTTCCTCGCTGGTCAATCGAAAATTTTCATTGTAAGCGAAAATTTAGACAAATGTACAAACATACTAACATGCTTGTCAAAAAATTAATATCACAGCTATTACAACAAAGAAAGTGCTTATATGTCAAAAGAAAAAAAAGAGGTTTTTGTTGAAGTGTATCTTGAACGTTAATTGTTACGGATGTCTTCCAGTGCAAATTGAATCATTTTCTGTTATGTTTACTTTGTTTGATAATCTTAATCGTGTATATGAGATGTCAACATTCCATCCATAGGGCCCGTATCCCTAGTTAGGGAAATGCATTGAGCGCAGACTAAACGCAGAGATGAAATTAATCGTCCTCCAGACCCAGATCACTTTTCCGGAAGCAAGACTTCGCACCTTTGTTATTGATTCAACTGCAACAGTTTAGTGAAAAAATATCGACTTAAAAGAAACCGGAGGTATGTAATCCTGTTTATACTAACCTGAAAGACGATAAAAGAATCTGTCAAGTTTTTTGTTATTATCCAGACACTAGTACGCACCAAACGGGATGTTATGTACAGACTTGAAAGAAATGTTCCACGTTTGTCGACATATAGCTTCGAATCAATTTTAAATTTTCAATATTATAATGTATTGCCACTAATTTTACATGCATACTAGCATAAAGATTCATACATTTGCACTAGTGCTTTTTCTCTATGTTAAAAAAGTTGGCTTTATCATATACTATCACTTTTCGAGAATCGAAAAGTCAGCTTTTTTATTATTCTCCAATTAACCTTTATCTTATGTATATTAAACTCAATCTCCTTTGGTCGTAAAAATATATCTAGGACGGAGAGAATTGTCCTAAACAATAAGAAGGGAAAACTATTTTTAAAGGGTCTCTAATATGGTTTTACTTTAGTCCTACATCGGTTCTACACCTCGACTTTAGACATCTCGATGCAATGGAGCTAATTCGTCTTTCTGAGTAAAAAGCTCATTTCTATTCTCGCATACTGAAGAGCACCGGTATTTTACATTTAAGCCCAAATATCAAAGCCTTTATATCCATGTTCGTTTTTGTCAGATTATTAATAAAATTAAAATGGGATCACAATGACTTCGCTAATGATGTGGCCGACGAATCAACTGTAATACAAGTACTGTTCAGAAATTCGGAAAACCCTCCCTTTCATTTAGTGCCATGCAAAAAGTGCATCTATCTCAGACCTCTTAAGACTCTATTCGTGACTTAAAGCAGACATGTTACGTAATGATTTTTTTTTTCAAATTTGAAGATTGTGGGTCGAAAATTTTCCAACTTCTTAACACTAGAAGAAATGGAATGATCTCACGATACGAGCACGTGCCTTCGGGCGCGATTTTCTTTAAAATTGAAGAAGCTGTTTGAAGAAATCAAAAGTGTCGAAGGATTAAAGACCTGCCGAAGACCTGCTGGGGGTGTATTATCACCTTGCACTATTTACCGATACATTAACGACAGAAGTTGGAATAGATTAAGACAACAATTAAGAAAGATCAAGGAAATGGGGGGTCAGAGCACGAGGGTGGTAGTCCTAACTTTTATTCTCTTCTCGATTCATCACAAATTAAAATTACACTGCATCTTGACTTCATTGTTCTAGAAAAAAAAACTTAATGTTTTACTGATTTTCTCTTATAAAGTACCTTTGTAAGGTATGGTTGTGAAAAGGATTAGCAAATTTGGTAGTTTCCTGTATAACTTTAAATACAAAGGTTTTATTAAAATTTAGGATTAATAACTAAAAACTTTGCTAATGCAAGCAATAGCTTATGTCACCCCGAACCGACCTCAAATGTGGCATCAAAGTAAGCAATTACTATTGAAAAATTAATCAAATTTTTCAGACATTTACCAATTTTTATGTCCACGACAGCAGAAGCCATTTTGTAAATTTTAAACTTCAAAAACTAGAAGCGACACTTACAAATCAATATTACGCAGTTTAAAATACATTTAGAAAAAAAAATATCAAAAAGAAAATTCCCTTTCTTGTCTCAGCGGTGAAAATGTTTGTCCCACCGATTCCATTTTTTTCTTTAGAAATCAGTTTTAATGCAAGGAATAATCTTTCTGATATTTTAAAAGTACTTGCTGAAAACTGACTGAATCTGACTGACAGAATCGCTGAAGAAAAGAGATTTAAAACTTTTATATTTTTTTTTAATTTTTCTGTTTTCACGGCAATGCTGGCCATTTTGAAAATTTAAAAAATTGCTTGCGCAAGTAGACTTAGTGATTACTTACACTGTAA